GTTTTCTTTATACCAATTGATTCGTCTCATTATTTTGTGCATAAAAATATTAAGATAAGATTTCCGAAAATTGAATGTTTTACAAGATATTTTGTATTTTATGTCAAAATGCTGTAACTTTCAAGCCTTATAACTCAAAAAGTACTTAATGAAAAATAACTTTATTATAGTGTTTAGAAAAGCTCTTGACACCAGCTATTAGATTTCGGAATCAAAAATAGAGGTTTTTATTTAAAAAATTTGATTTGACCTTGAAATGACCTTGAAGGTCACGGGCAAGGCCAAATCTAAGGTCACCATCGGATTGCCCGAGAAAAATCCTACAACTTTTGTTCAGATCATTTTCCTCTGTAATGCGTATTTTTCAAATTATCCAGCCGTCCCAGAACTTTTGACACACGCTGTATATACAGGAATGGGCACTGAATTGCTTGTCGCGAGAAAGGACTACATGTTGTGTATTGCTGTCCTTTGACATACAGTCAAGTTCTAAACTTTTGACTGTATTTGGCGTAGTAGGTGTACACCAGTCAAGATCTATAGAGAGAAGGTTACCTCATGCGCAAAGAGGGACGAGCGGCAAGAGGGACAATGATGATCTCATTGGCAAACAGAAGCTATCTCAGACAGCTACTGTTTGCAGTGTAGCCAGATTTGGCCCGGTTTTTCGCGCATGCGCGACGCGGCGAACGCAGTGAAGTGTTTCAGTCTAGTAAAAGAGTATACCATATGGTACCCGTTTATTTTAAAAAATTATTATTTTTTGAAAAAGCAATAAAAAAATAAAGTATATTTACATATATTTATATTTTCATATACATATACATATACATATAAATATATGTAAATATACTTTATTTTTCTATTGATTTTTCAGAAAATAATAATTTTTAAAATGAACGAGTACTATATGGTATACCTTTTTACTAGACTGAAACCATTGAGTTCTATAACGTACTGGAGCGAGCCTTCCTATCCCGAACAAAGAAAACTGCGTCCGCGATTTAGAAAAGGACACATATAGCAATGTGAGGATTTCTGTCTCTTTTTACGTTCTATTGCTTATGCTGAAAACATACGCTGACAAGGAAGACTAGCCTCACGTAAATCTATCTGTCTTTTTCGACCGATGGAGATATCCCCACTCCTGAAAGGCTCGCTCCAGTATGTTATAGAACTCAATGACTGAAACACTTCACTGCGTTCGCTGCGTCGCGCATGCGCGAAAAACCGGGCCAAATCTGGCTACACTGACTGTTTGTCGATGAGATCATCATGCTCTCCCCTTCCTTCATCGCCCCTCGCCGTCAAGCTGTTTCTAGCTCCCCCCTTACTTCATCGTCCCTCGCCCTCAACCGGTTTTACTGAGGTAACCTTCTCTCTATAGATCTTGCACACCAGTCACAGGAATGTCTTAGGGCCTATCCAGACAAACTTGCATAGTCGCATAAACATATGCTTAAAAAAAATTGATTAATCTAGAGATCCTTAAATAAGAGATCGGCAGAACTGTCGCCATCTTGGTGTAAAAGCGGATGTGACGTTCGTAGCGCTTTATTTTGAATGTATACAATAACTAATATATTTATTTTCTGTTGTAACTGACATTAGTGCAATAAAATAATTAAAAACAATTTTATCTCAGTACGATACTTTATGCTTATATAGAAATTAATATATTAATATATATAAAAGAAGTAATTAAATTATTAAAATTATTATGGCACATAAAAAAACACAATAAAAGTACATACAAACATAAAAACAAAAATATATATAAACGTAGAATAGCAAATAAAAATATTTATAGAAGATAAGATGCAAATAATTTCGTTTATTTGTAATTGTTGTGTATACAATAAATCAATTTGTAGTATATACAACCCAAGGAAAACAGAAAATCAAAATAATGTCAATTTGA